GGAGATGGGGTTGTATGTGACCATCTGCCTGGGGAGCGATTTACTACCCCCCACCCCACCCCCCTGTAACCAGCCTATGACTCAATTCCCAATTTTTGGATGGAGTCACGGCCCCCATGGACTTGAAAGGCATGTCAGGCATGTGCCCCAAATCCCAACAAGATGGCCAGGTAGAGGACAAGGGGTTGCAGCGTGACTGTGCTCCACGGACAGGGCTCTCTCTTTCCCCCTCTCTCTCATTTCAGTCTCTCTTAGGGGTGTGCACCTGCCCGCTGGCAAATTTTTAAAAATAAAAGTAGTCGGGAGCCTGTGATTTAAGAGGGTTGGCTGGACACCAGGGTAGGGCTGGATGGTTCTCCACGCCTGTGTCCCAGTCACCCAGGAAGGGGCCAGCCAGGGCCGAGCAGGGGCTCAGGACAGCGGAGGCGAGGTGCCCAGGGCCGCTCGCGCACCACTGAACTGAGCCCTCCAACTTCTCTGCCCTCCCAGTGGGTTTGCTGTAGACACTGCTTGGTTGTGCCCGTCCTGCTGACCCTCACAGTCACCCCGAAGACCTTCATCATTCTCAGCACCGGCCTTAGCGTGAATACTCCGGCAGGTGGGCAGCCGAAAAGTCTTTCTGTAGTCTCCTCCTCCTTCCTTCTCTGCCCACTGGAGCCGTTGGTCCAGAAAAAAAATACCTAGTACGCAAACTTCCGGTTCGTACCTTGTCCATCATTAACTAAAGCACACAGTGTCCAGGTGACCGAGCTCTGGGCCCACAGCGTTTTAATGGAGAGGAATAACAGACGGGGTGTTCCGTGTGTGTTTGGGGCCAATGGAAACCAGCCTCCTGTGGGTGCCACGCAGGTCCCCTTCCACGTCGCCAGCACAACCCGTGTGCTCTGCCAGTTTCCACGACCTCCATCTTGTCTGATCCTGCTCTGGGCCTGTCTCAGGCCTTCTCTCTGCAGACAGGGCGAGCAGTAGCTTTCTCAGGGCCCAAGGTGGTTTTTCAGATGTGGATATTGGCCAGCTCCCCAAGTTGCTAGAAAAATGCAGGCAGCTTGGCCACCTAAGCGAAAGCCATCGGTGGCATTTTTCCCAGCCTCGGTTGAATTCAAACCACTAAACTCTTGTGTTCTTTTTTACAGCTTTCCTAGCTAACAGAACTAGATGCCTTTAAAAATATTTTAGAATAATTTTTTCTTAAACCAGTGGTACTTGTTTTTCCCTCTGTAAAGGCTAACCTATCATCATTTCTCCATAAACTTGCTCTGGGGAAAGGGTGGCGGAGGGACAGAAAAAAAAGGCACCCTGCTAAGAAAAGCATGCAACTTGAAGGAAATAAAAGCCCTGTGTTCAGGATCCTATAGCCACTTCCCAGTATAGATACGATCTTCCTGGGCCTCGATTTACCCCTCTCAAGAACGGAAGAATACTGTGACATGCTCAACTACTTATATGGTGGTTTTGTGAATCGATTGGGCAAATATTTGTAACAACATTTAGTGACCATAAAGCGCTAACAAAAGTTATCGTGCTTTAAAAAATAAATGGAAGGAAGTGTGAAATGTTTTCTGGAAGTCCAGAACCTCGGATACAGGAGTCCTTTGTTTTCAGATGGCAAAGAGTGGCCCCTGGATGTCAGCACCACGTGCTCCACTTGGGTTCTCGAGGGCTCAGGTTTTGAGGGGACTCCTCAGGACAGTAAATACAAGGAGCCCAGAATGAAGGCCGTGGCTCTTCGCTTCCCAGGTGTGTCCTAAACCGTCACCAGGAGTACAGCGAGTGAGGCTACAAGTGGCCCTGTGGCCAGGCTGGCCTCGCTTTGAGTCCTATCTCTGCCACGCAAGCTGTTGTAGGCGAATTCCTCAACTTCTCTGAGCCCGGTTTCCTCATCTGTCAAATGGGTATAATCATCACCATGATCATATATGAGGGGGTCTTCAAAAATCCCGTGGTCAACGTATAGTATGAAAAAGCTACATAAGGATTAAAAATGAAACTTTGGGGGGCCAGCATTTGACATGGTGGTTAAGGTGCTGGAAACCCACGTGGTCCACCCTAGTTCAGGTCCCGAACTTGGCAGCTTGAAGATCACACAGGGCGTGAGTGCATGCTGCATGCATGCCCAAGATCCTGAGAGGAGAATGGAAGAAGGGATTACAGAGTGACCATCCTCCTGGGGGGTGGGGGTGATTTCTTGCTTTCCCTCTCTGTCTGTCTGTCTGTCTGTCTCTCTCTCTCTCTCTGTGTGTCTCTGGTCAGCACACACACAACCCAAAGCAAAAAAATCTTTGAAAAAATATACAATGGGGCCAGCAGATGGCATAGCAGTCACATTGCTGGACTCCCCCATGGCCGGCTGCCTTTCGAGTCCTGGACCCAGTGTCTTCAACATTATGCCTGGTGTGTGCGTGCATGCCCAAGATCTCAGGAGGACAATGGAGGAGAAGGGATTGAGGCATGGCCATCCCCCCCAGGGAGTGATTTCTCACTTTACCTCTCACTGTCTCTGTCTCTTCCTTCCTCCTCCTTGCAAGTGCACCAGCCCTAAGGCAAAATCCTCTTAAAAAAAAAAAAAAAAAAAAAAAAAAAAGGAAGGAATTCCCACTGTCTGTTCCTTTGTGTTTAATGATGAGACTTTTGATGGGTGACCATTCATTCCATAAGCATTTACTGCATGCTTTCTGTAAGCCTATGGGAGACTACTTTAAAGTAGGAGGTTTGTTCAGCTGAAAAGAGTTAAGAAAAAGCTGATGGAGACACACTCTCTGCCACCCTCTATTTGCACAAAAACAGGGTGTAAATTTAGAAAGACAAAACAAAACATTTGTAAAGAACCCGAGATGATAAGAGAAGAATCTGCATTCACAAGCTATAGTAACTGGCCTGCGTTTGACATTTATTCATCTCTTCCCCTAGTTGCATATACCTGTAGCTACTCAAAGTTTTTTCCTGTCTCCCCACTTCTCTTTTTTTTTTTTTTTTTTTTTTTTGAGAGAGACAAATTTTTGCTATAGGGCACATGTGCTTGTTGGAGAGACAGAGAGAGAGAAAGTGATAAATCACCTCCCAAGGGGGAGGGGAATGGCCACACTGCAACCCCTTCTCTGTTCTCCTCTTAGGAACTGGGGCATGCAATCGCATGCGCCTGGTATGAGTTTTAAGCTGCCGGGTCCAGGACTTGAACCGCAGTGAACTATATGGGAGTCCAGTGATGTACTGGAGAAAAAAAGAGAGAAATTACACACATTCCTACCATGATTTAGCCAAGAGACCACAACTAGCAGGGAGATGGGATATGTAGCTGTAATGCTGAGTTGTCAAGTGACTAACCAAAATGTAGGGATTTTATTATTACTGTTATTATTATCATTGTTTTAAGGTTTTTGCCAAAGGGCTCATACACTCACCAGAGAGGAGAGAGCAGAGAGAGACAGTGAGAGGAAAAGTGAGAAATCATCCCCTAGATGGGGTGGCCAGACCACAATCCCTTCTTCATTCTCTCCCTGGGATTTTGGGCATGCACACACATATGCCCTGCGTGATTTTCAAGCTGCTAGGTCTGGAACTCAAACTGCAACAGGCCATGTGAGAGTCTGGCACCTTAACCACTATGCCACCTGTTGGTCCCAGGATTTCATTATTAAATGAAGGAGGAGAGAATCTTACAAGACCACATGACAGTCTATGGGGCAGGTTAGGAGGGATAACAGTGTTGTCGTTTACACAATGGGTGAACACAATTTTGGCTAAATAAGGGTGAGTGGGAGATGAGAAGTTAAGAATTATGGCTGATGACTGAAGGGACTAAGCCACTGACCACTGAGGACCCGGTGGCCTGGCTGGTAACAGGACAGTGTGATAGAAGGCCGCCAGAGAGCCAGGACTACGCTCACTGGATCGCTCACACTGGGGGCTACCTATAGTGGGTGTTCTGACCATGTGGGATTCTGTCATAGAAGAATTGGAGACTGGCACGTCATCACCTCAGCGCCTTTTCTGGGTCAACCTGGTTCTGCTTCTAGTTCTGTGTGAGATTTTATTTTCTTTGTTTAGGTTTACTTTTTTTTTTTTTAATACAAGATAGTACAAGCACATGCATGAGAAGAGGTGAAGGGGGCACTTTTGACAGAGTCTCATCAAGCTGCAATCCCCCTTCCCCGGCCCTCTACCTGGTCAGGATCTTGGGCACACGTACACGTGACATGTTTTCAAGCTGACCTGGGGATCTGAACCCGCAGTTGGCCATGTGGCTCTCTTAGCATTACAGTCCAGTGTGTTAACTACTGTGTCACCAAGCTGGGCCTGTTGAAATTTTTCTCTGTTATGGAAGTCATTGCTCATTCAATATGGGGTTGCATCACCAACTCTCCACTCCTGTTTCTGCCTTTTTTGTTTGTTTGTTTGCTATAGGGTGTGTGCACTTGCCAGAGAAAGAGAGAGAAATTGCCCCCTGGCGGGGTGTGGCCATGATGCAATTCCTTCTCCTCCATGTTCCTCTTGGGATTTGGGGCACACATGCACACGCACCTAGTGTGGTTCTCAAACTGCCAAGTCCAGGACTTGAACCACAAAGTTGCCTATGTAGGATCCAGCCACCTTAATTTCCACACCAGGTGCTTCCTTACATCCGCTCTATCCTAGTCACTACTGTCCAAGGTTTGGATGTAACAGTACCAGGAGCAAAGAGGAACCACCAGACTAACGACGTTCTCAAGTGGTCCGGCTGCTGGCTTACCTTGGTTGAGAAGGATGGTGTTAGGTTTGATTTGGGAACGGCGGCGGAGACAGGGGCAGCAAAGACGAAAATGCCAGAGTCAGGCCATGGGGTTTCATAAAATTTATTCTGCAAAAGCTCTCCGGTGAGGTCCCTCGGTCTGCTCAGAGGCGGAGGGAGTCATGCCCAGGGTGGGTGCTGCTCGTTCTTAAAGGGCCGTTGTCCAATAGGTGGTCGCCATGGGTCCTTGTCTGGCCAATGAAGTTCGCTGTTTCTGTTCAACTTTGGCGGCCGCCAAATGCTGAAGGGCGGGAAAGTCCGTTGGTGACGGCGGGCCAGGTGCAGAAAACAGGAAAGTTCCTGCCGGTGGGAATGTTTCCGCCATGTTTCTTTTCCCTTCCCCCAGACCTTACAGATGGATATGACCACCTTTTAAGATCTTCAGATTTACAATCCTGAGATCTCCCATTGAGCTCTTCAGAACTATAAGTCTGACCTGAACTGGCGTGAGACAATGTAGAGAAGGTACATCAGTTTATTTCATTTTTGTTACAGTTTCCATTTCCATCCTAAATTTCAACCAACCTATTCATCTCAAACTAAAAGTGATCCTTATAAACATGTGTTTATTACAGTTTTGGATTTTTGCTCCAAAAATACACATGACAAAGCTGCCCATCTTCCCAACCACATGCACCTGAAAGGGTGTCCCTGCATCGAATCCATTTCTCGATGTAACACGCATCAGACCAACAGCACGTCTGGAGCAGTATCTTACTATTTCAACAGCTTCACAGACGGAATCACAGACTGTGATTGGTCACATCCGTTATAAGCTACTGGATATTCCCGGTGAGCATTCTGCGCTCTCAGGTGACCTCTTTGCAAAGCCATGGTTCCTCAGCTCAGACATGGATGGTGTTTCTAGGGTGCCCATCTCGGTTGTGAGAGCCCTAGGGCCTGGAGGAAGAGAGACAGGCCAAATGTATCCACGCAAACTCTGCTTCTGTCTGCCAAGAAGCGACACAACTTTCTGTACTACACGAGAATGTGGGCCTGCCATATTGGTCCTCTAGCACTGAATTATCTAGAAAGTTTTAGGAGCAATGAAAGTGAAGTAAGTGACTTGGGTTCTGATTCAGTCTTGCCACCCGAAAAGCTTTGGCATTACAGCTCCAAGTGCCACAACCTGTCGGTAAGGATGAAGGGCCTGAGGATAATGAGTATGTAAACACACAGCCGCAGTATGCTGTGTGAGGTCTAGGACGGATGTTACAGGGCTACAGATAAGTTAGGCACTGTTGACAGAAATAACCAACTCTATAAAAATGACAATTAATGTGATTTACTTTTAATCAGAATATGAGTGACCTAAGCCCAGAGAGGAGGCAAAAACATGTCTTTTCTGGGGGGTGCTCAGGTATAGGATTTTTTTTGGGGGGGGGTTGGAATTTAGTGAAGAGTGTTTTATTGGTCTGGCCCAGAAAGGCAGGAGAGGAGGAGGAGCTTGTAGGTTATAGGTGGGTTTTACAGTTTTTAGGTTGGTAATTGGAAAAGAGAGGATGTTGACATTAAAAAAGGAACGTACTGGGACCAGCATTTGGCGTAATGGCTGTGTCACCGGACTTCCATGTTGTTGACTGCGGTTAGAATTCCAAACCTGGTGGCTTAAACTCACGCCAGGTGTATGTGCGTCCGCGCCCAAGATCCAGAAGGAGAGTGAAGGAGAAGGGATTGCAGTGTTGCCATCCCTCCTGGGGATGATTTCTCGCTTTCTGTCTCTCTGTCTCTCTCTGTCTGGCGAGGGCATGTGCCCTAAAGCAAAATCCTCCTCCCCCCCCCCAAAAAAAAGAGGAATGTACTTTAAAAGAGATAAGGAGGCTTAATATACATGAGAAAGATACTATGTTAGGGACAGGACATAAGAAGAATTTTGTTATCAATGGGCCAAAATGATCTGTTAATTGAGGGCATGACTCCCTCTAGGCTCTTTGGAAAGGATTTTGGAAACTAGGAAAAAGCAGTCAGACTTCTGTCCTCAGCACCTCAGGTAAGGTTTGGTGCCACAGAGCCAACTACCCTACATTCCGGCATTTCAGGGTTCAAAAGGAAAATGACTTGATTGCCTTAAAATGAGGCTGACAGTCGAAGCATATAAACGCCCCCAACATTGACAGGGTTCATGTAAAAGCTGTGGAGGCCATAATGACAGAGAGCCGGGGAAGTAGAATGGAAAGGCTTGCAGCTCAAGAGCTGGAAAAGGTATTTCCTCCTTCCGGTCTTCCCTTGTGTTGTGCCACTTGGTATATTGCGGTTACATTATAGCTTTACATGATGACAGGAGACAGTCCAGTTCTAAGAGAGACAGGCTCTCTGGAACAATCGGCATAATTAAATCTCTCGCAGGCCATGGCTGTGGTCCTTCACGCACTCCTTCATTCCACAAGGATGAAATGCCTGTAGCTCAGGTTCTTGATCCATCCCAGACACCAATCATTTGAAAGCAACTTAGTTTCCAAATGGAAACTGGAACAGGGCCTTCCTGATACCTCATCTTTGTGGTCTCACTACGGCTGACCTTGCCTGACTAGGAGTCTCTTTGGTAATTCAGTAACTAAGCACCTTGGCTGGGGGCCAGAAGGCCCACGCTAGAGCCGGCTGCTAGCAGTGGTGGATGGCATGCCATGACTCTGCTCAGACCACCTGCCCCTGTGCATTGCACACACAAGTCACGACTTGACCTTGCAGGTGCGTTTCATGCTTGGCACAATCTGAAGCAAGAAAACTGGGCAGGACTTCTCTCTCTCTCTCTTTCTCTGTGTTTCCTCTCAGTGAGACTCAAGCCAGTTTCTTGCATCGACAGTTCATTCGCGTATTAACAATCGCTGTGCACTTTCTTCTTTCTTGGATAAGTGTCACTGCCTAGATGGGTCTTTGGTTATGGTAAGACTTCCCAGGCTACCTTTGTCTTTACATTCTGTCTCATAAGCAGTGGTTGGCAATATGGAACCCCTTTTGGTTATGTGGCTTCTCTGCGGTCATCCCTGTGTATTATCTCCAAATTCTCCAGAAGAAAGATAATAAGAGGGAACAGGGCAAAACAAAGCCAGTTGTTTGGCTGAAAAACAAAAGGCTCCTTTGCTCGCACGTGGCCTGGGAGCAGAAGCACTCGAATTGTTCTCATTGCTCTGACTCTCTAGGTTAAGCAAGTACAAATGACTGGGAAGGTCGCCAAGCACCTCTGCCCTGTCCTCTGGTCTCAGCGACACTATTGGCCTCTGTTTGCCCTTGAAAATTTGTTACGATCAGATGCAGTTAATGTGAATCAGGGAGGCTCAATTGCCCTCCTGCTTGGTAATTTTCGTGTAGTAGGAAAAGACTGGATTAATAATAATACTGATAATAATTCAGGGGGCTTTTCTTTTGGCTTTTTCAGACCTCAGCAGTCTGGGAGGTCTGAGGGCCGAACCTCCTCCCTCGCCCACTTTGAGAAAGTGAGCTGGCTGTCCTTGTAAATGCCCTTGGTGCAAACTGGCAAGACACATGAGAAGGAGCCTCTCGAAATCCACGCAGGTGTCTCCCCGCCTCGGGTAACGAGTCTCATTGTGCCTTTGTGTCCTTACGTCCAGTCTGTCTCTGGCAAAGCAGTAAGTGACACTGTGGAAAAGGCAGAAGGGCATATCGTGGTTTCTGCACAAAGAGAGTCATTTGGGAGGAGAAAAAAAGAAGGAAAGAAAATCTCTGGAAACATCTTAAAGGCAGCCAAGCCTAAGCATGGCTGTGTGAGGAGACGTTCTCTTCTATTTCACCATGTGGAGCTGATTTTACTCTCTGGCGTGCGTGTGTGTGTGTGTGTGTGTGTGTTTGCATGTGTGTATGTGTGTGTAAGAGATTTTGTGACACAAATGAAGCTCTTCTGGACATCTAGGCAATGGTATTTTAAATGATCCATTGAAAAGGACCTTTCAATTCAAGCTGGCATTTCAAATTCTATTTTAATAACACAACGAATAATACAATGACTATATAATGAAAGTAAGAAGAATACTTTGAAAAGTTTGTGGAAAATGGAATTTAAAAAATACTCGGGTGCAAAATATTTTAAAAATCTATGTGTCTTTTTTTTTTTTTTTTTTTTTTTTTAATAATACACATTTTCCATGAACTGTCTGCTGTCAGATGCCACCTTTCTCAAAAGAGCTCCTGGTGATTGACAAGTCTCGCTAATCCCTAGGCAAGCTCATATCCACGCACCGTGCAAACAGCAAAGGCTATCCTACTCTACAGAGGGGCAACTGCATCTCAGTGCTTCCGGCACCTCAGCCTAAACCGGCAAGAGTGTCACAGGCCAGGCCAGTCCTGCTCAGTCTTGCGCCCGAGCTGAAGGGGCCAGAGTAACACTGTCCCAGTCTTGTGTCTTGGCCCCTCTTCAGCTGCTGATCCGTGCCTCAGGGAGGCCACCAGTCCTGGGAGGAGAAAGGGTGGTTAACCATGACGGCCAATTACACCTAAACCATGACTCTTCTGCCTATAACCTCCCTGTATTTCTATTTCTTTGTCTGTGTCTTTCTTCTTTCTTTTCTATTTCTTTTTCTTTCTCTTCTTTCTTTTCCTTTCTTTCTCTTCTATTTCTTTTTTCTTCCTCCTCTTTCTTTTTCTTTCTTTCTTCTTCTTCTATCTTCCTTTTTTCATTCCTTCTCTCTCTCTCTTTTTTTTTTTTTGACCATAGTGCACATGCGCTTGCCAACAGAGACAGAGAGAGAGAGAAAGTGAGAAATAATTCTCAATAGAGGGTGACAACACCACAATCCCTTCCCTTCCACTCTCCTCTCAGGAGGTTAGGTACACACACACAAATGCCTGGCATGATTTTCAAACCATTGGATCAAGAATTCAAACAACAATGTTGGCCATATAGGAATACAGTGCCTTAACCACCATGCCTCATGCTGGCCAATACCCTATTTTTCTTTTTTAAATTTAATTTACTATTATTATTATTTTTTAATTTGCTATAGGGCACAGGCACGAGAGGGAGAGAGAGAGAGAGAGAGAAGGAAAGTGAGAAAGCAAGCCACCAAGTCTAGGACTTGAACCACAGTCAGCCATGTGGGAGTCCAGCGCCTTAACTACCATGCCACTTGCTGGCCCACACCCTGTGTTTCTTAACTCCATGTTTGCTACCAAATCTTTATCTTCCTAAATAACTTCTTAAAATCTTGGTTTCTTGATTTATTAAATTAGACCAATGATGATACCCATTGATTTTCAAAATAGTTGCAGGGACTTGAAAAATTAAGTAAAGCATACGACGCTATGCCTTCCAGATAGGAGCTGTTCAAAAAATGTTGGATTTACGCATTTTTATTTTATCAATACATGGGAGTGGTGCTCTCCCGCTTCACGAATATCAGATGAGTTGCCTTTCATCCCTGAACATCAGTTTTAACTTGATATTCACTACGAGTGGGAAAATGTGATTTACAGCCCATTCCCCTAACACCTGTGTCCACCCTCACTCACATCCATAGACACACGCCAGCACCAATTCTCCACAGAGAGGAGCTTAGTTACACTTCTTGCAAATTTGTATGAAGTACAGACTTTAAAAAAATAGAAGTTCTATAAAACAACGAGCAATTTCTACTAGTTATGTGGTTCTAGCTTCATGAAGAAAGCCAGTGTGTCCCTTTCACTTCCTAAAAAGAAAGATTTCACCCCAAATCTCTCCCAGCACCTGCCAGGATCTGGAGCATTGACTCTGGGGTAAGAGAAACACTGTCTCAGTGTTCTCGTCTGTGAATTGGAGCTGACAGATCACAGGAAAACCTGTCTCACAGCTTCGTGTAAAAATGAAAATGGTGTCGGCAAAATGCCCTGAGCACTGCTCTGTTAGCTGCAGTAAATACTTCCTAATTATTGTGCATAGGATGAGCACATTTTGCGAACTTGGAACAAGCCAAACTTTTCCTTTAAGCCTGAACTCCAGAATCAGTAGCAGCTACTTTTTTTTTTTTTGCCATCTTTTGGAGAGTCGTTTTTTAGCTATAGGGTGCGTGCACTCACCAGAAAGACAGACAGAGACAGAGAGACAGAAAGCGAGAAATTACCCCCCAGGGGGGATGGCCATGCTGCAGTCCCTTCTCCTCCATTCTCCTCTTGGGATCTTGGGCACGCACGCACACACGCCCGGTGTGAGTTTAAGCCACTGGGTCCAGGACTCGAACCACGGTCGACAACGTGGGAGTCCAGTGACATAGCCATTACTCTAACTTCTGGTCCCCCGTAGCAGCTACTTTTGAGTGTACACCATGTGCAGGCTCCTAAAAGAAAGGAAAGAACCTTAAACATGTAATTAGCTAGAGGGAAACAGAAACACCCAGAACGTGACGTACTCCGAGGATGAACATGACAGTCAGGGTGGGGCAATTGTTACATTTTGGAGCAGCAGCTGACATTTAGGTTTCAGGACTTCATCTTGCCATTCTTTTTTTTTTTTTAAATCTTTGAAGATTGTGGGGACTAAATATATCTAAGGATAAATGTCCAAAGGCAAGGCTTTTGGCAGAAATAGAAAAATTGTCATTCTGAATCCAGGTTTGACTTGGACAAGGAGTGACTTAGAAAAACATCAAGAGGACAGAAATGTAAGAAAATTGTATTTACTCAAGGCTGAAGAGAAGATTTCTGTCTAGCCTGAAAGTGAGGTCATACAAACTAAGAAGGGAAATAAATACTAAGGAGACGGGGGCAGTGTTTCCCAGAGTGGGTGCCGCAGGGCACAAGTCTCATGAGACGCTTGGTGACAGAAGGGCTATGCAGTCCAATGAGCTTGGGAAACTGCGTGTGAATGCCCCCCTTGAGATAAACAGTGCACATTTATATATCAAGGTTGTCAGAAGCCCCCGAGTAATCTCTTGTGCAGATCCCCATCTGAAATGTCCAGATAGTCGTTTCTCCTTTTTTGCCATGAGAACTGTGATTTTGTTCAAGAAAGCTTGGGCCTGGCTCCCAATGATTGGTTCATCATGTTTCTATGGCAACCATGAGACACAAAGGCCTGCTTGCCAGCAATGAGTACAGGGTGAGGCTGTGACTTAGCTCCTTTGGTCAATGAGCCTTCAGAGGATGGGGTTTTTAGGGTTTCTGGGAATAAAGAAAAAAAAATGCAGGGAGTGCATGCTTTCTTTTTGACACCTCCTTGCTTTCTGGCTTTGCATGAGGTGTGTTACAGAATTTGATAGCTGGAGCTGTGGCTGCCATCTTGTGACCATGAGGTGGTGAGAGGAGAAACAGAAGATGCCTGTCTAGTGCCCTAACAGTGTGGAGCCACAGAGCTGAGCTTGCCTGGAGCTCCCACACCCAGGCTTCTCTCTAATGTCCTATGTCCTTACAGTACGATCTGCAGGTGGCTAGGGTGAAATGAGGCCTAAATGGGACATCCTTCCCTCAGTTTGAGCTATTTGACCAGAGTTCTTTTTTTAGGATTCCTACCCCCTTCTTTACCCAGTAAAAATGCTGGTGCAAAGGGAACAGCAGAGAAGAGGAGGTTGAGTCCCAGTCTTCACTCCCCTAGTAATTCACCGACTGCCTTAGCTGTATCACCTGGGGAGTGAGGCTGGCCTGTATCTCCTCGCACCTCCATGGCAACTCTGAGAACCGAGTCTCTGGGAGCCAGGACCTGGTGCACCATGCCCATGGCCTTGGGTCCCAGCAGTTGCCATCCACAGTCTCTGCATTCCAAGGTCTTAAATACAAGTACTCTTTGTTTTTCTTAGAGGTTTTCGCCACAGGG